AGTGAGTTGTGTTTCCACAAGATGTTAACTTTTAGCTCTCTCAACTGAGATTTCTTTCCATCTTCCACTGTTTTCTATTCTTTCGTAGATTTGGCCCACAGCTCCTAGAACATGTTATTTCATATTTTAAAAAAGGATATCAAATAAATCTCCAAAATCTAATTCAAAATTCCCTCCCACTCAAATACCTTTACAGATGTAATGTTTTGCATTGAACACTAATGATGTGGTCATAGGTAATTGAGAAACTGTCTTCCTGTGACTATAGGCACTAAACTGCAAGTCAACTCTAAATCTTAAGTGGCGTCAATGATTTTTTTATGGGTGTGATGAATTGGCAATATGTACTTCCAAGTATTTAATTTCCTGTCTTTGCTTCTTTCCTCAATATTTATTAAAAATTTTGGTCAAAAACTAGGCAGCTTACCATTTAAGAGACAACATGCATATAGGATATACAGCATAAGAACATCACTACACTGAATGTTCTAAAACTGAAAAGTAGAAACCTGATCAACTCTGTCTGGATTGTAATGAGGAAAGCACATGGGGTCAGTCCCAGCACAAAAGGGCAGATTTTGGGCAAACCCAGAACCTGAATTGGAGACTTTGGATGTTAACTGCAGAAAATCACTTTAAAATAAAAAAGCTATGCAAAAGCTAAAATAAAAAAAGATCTCTTTTAGTGTCTGACCTAAAACTAAATCAGTACAAGTTTTGAAGTATAAAGGAAATCCAAAAAGGCTAATTCTAGCTGAGTAAGAGTTATAAAAATATTCAGCAAAATAAGAAATTATTTCTTCCTTTGGGAAACTCAGCATGAGACAGTTAAGCACAGAGCCAAAGCTGGAGAGCTTACATTTCCAATCACCAATCCACTTTTTTGTAGGAAATATGCATTGCAATGTATTATTTACACTCCTTATATCTAAAAAGTAGGTGCCAATGTTATTTTGCCTGGGTACACATAAAAAGAAGATGAGAGAACATACTACACAGTGACCTTTATTTTAATGCAATATTATGGGGATATGGAAAATCTAGAGTTTTCAAAAGAGTAGAGAGAAATCCATTTTCTGCACTAAAAAAAATGAACCCTTTTAAATAACATGATTCCTCCCATTGAGTGACATATGTGGATCAATTTACATTTGAATTTGGTCACCAAAAAAGACTGAGGGACATGTATCTTGCAAATGTATAGAGCAGAGAGCATAATTATGCCAGGTGGCCAGTATAACACTGGGATAGAGATGGAATCCAAGATGAGGCTGGGGCAGGAAGGGGGTAGAGAGAAGACATTGGAAATAGGTTCTCAATGAACAATGGGTGTCATGAACTTTTATTTCCTTAACAAATTAAAGGAATTCAATAAAAACAGGAACTAAGGCATTTTTAAGGAACTCTATTCTATAGTTTGAATTGTAAGTTGACTCATGACACTATTCACCAAAAATAATGTTACGTAGTTCACATGGTGTTGGGAACAGAGACCAAGAAAACCAACTCTGTCCTCAGCCTCCAAGGTTTCACTTGTGTAGTGGGAGAGACATGTGGTTTCCCATTCTGCTACTGTAGTGTAGCAGAGCAGCTGAAGGTGGTGAAGAGCTTAGATTCTGAAGCCAGGCTGTTTGAGTGTGAATTTGAGTTTATCTACTAGAAGTGTGTGATTATCTAGTAGACTTCTAGTAGATAAACTAGAAGTGTAAGTACCTTAGACTTTGGTACTTCAATTTTGTTATCTGTGCTGAAGTATAATCCTTCAGTGTTATGAAATGAAGTGTTATTTACAAAAAGGTACTCACAGTGTCTGATTATGACTACTATTCTTGTCATGGAGAGATGCATGGTATGCTGTAGACTGTAGAAGACAGGAGTGAGAGCGAGTCCAGTAGGACTTTTACAGGTTTGTAGTGTTGAAGCCATATACTGTGGTACAGCATGGACAGACGCACAAGGCAGAGGTCACTGATGTTGATAGGATGATGAGTATAGATTACGATAGGAGGTTTTAGATGTTCATTCTAAAGACTGTCTTGAAATTTTTGTGCTCACACATATTGGCTATCTCATTCTTGGTTTTCTATAACAGTTCTACTTCTCTTCAGCCATTAATATCTCTTCACTTCTATGCTTGGCTACAAGATAATGTTGCTTAACTAAACATGTAACTAGCTCATCTTTATGCGCAATAACCCACTCAGGTCCTTCCCCTGCAGTCTAATCACATATACAAATTTCCCTCTTACTAGAATATCGTTTTCATAAGATCTAGCTATCTGTTATCCCCACCCTCCTCTCTTTATAGATTTTATTCATCCCAATGTCTGCTTTGGCTTAAGCAGTTCTCTCTTTGGAGTTTTAATCTTCCCCAATCATTTCAAGTTACTTCTCTAAGAACAGGTTCAACTTTGAACATCATAAACAAAATAAATTTTGTTTGATCAAACATCACACTATATTAATAGACTTCTAACACCACAGCTTCTTGGTACTGAGCTTCACAATCACATACTTTAACTCTAGACTGCCTTTCTCCCTATTATGTCTACACATCGCTCATGCCTTCCTTGTGAGTGTAGGTTTTACTGTTCAGATATCTTTCCAGTGTAAGCATATCTATGGTATCTTGTGTACTAACAACAAAAACTCAACAAATGCTTGGTGGATGAATAGATTATGTGTAAAAGTATTCATAATACAACCTCCTTAAAACTTGCCAAGATTATTATGTGTAAATTCCATACAATTGTAAAATTAGTGACTTGTCCCTTGCAGGTTGAGTTGGGAAAGAATGACTATGGTTGATTTTTACTTAAGTGAATATAGTTCACATAGATAAGTGAAACATTCTAAAAGAGGTGTTGAAATTCTTTGAATTGAATACTTCTGAATTATGAAGTGCCATTACAAAATGTATGTGAAAACAAGACTAACTTAGTATATAGAAAGAGGGAAACAATTATTTATTCTCTATCTGTTGTGTACCCAGTCATCACGAGGCTGCTAACTTCACATAAAATATCTCATTAAAACTTTAATGTTTCCTCCCAGAGAAATAATAATTAGTATGGCCATTTTACAGCCAAATGCCACCAAAGTGCAAAAAGTTTTAAGCACTCCTTCCGAAGTCTCGCAGTCAAGTGATGAATTTGGGATTTGAATGCAGCTCTGGGTCTGACTCTAGAGACAAATGCTTTGAGAAGTTGTTGCAGCTTCATTGTTAGTATAATTTGACAATTGTGGAAATGCAACAAATTTTCTTGGTCTCAGCTCCTCCTTCATATGAGTTTTCCCTCAATTATATCTAAAGCTCTTATGACTAAATGCTTGTGAATGTGACATCCATTTATTTTTAAATCACATGGCATAGAGTCAGGTAGGGAAGTTGTATATATCAAAGGATTATATATTGATGACAGCATGGATATACAATTAGAATGATGGAATTACTAACTTCTTCATTTCTTTGTTGGTAGTTTAAATATTGATTACCCAAAGTTATAAAAAAAAATCTGTTGTTACCTGATATGCTCTTTAGCTTGGGTTAAGCTATGAGTTGCCATTCCTATAATACCTTTTTGCATTCTTCTCTAGATAAATATGCATGTTAAAGGAGAATGACATGATTCTAGAAACATCCCTAGGATCAAGTCACAATTTGAGGTGATTAATTAAAAATAGCTAGTGTCAAGTATATACAATATTTTACAATAAAGCCATTAATAAATCTACTTCATTCAAAAAGTCTCACTTCTCAATATTGTGCAAAATAGTATAGTATAAGAAAGAAAAGTCTAGAATTACATTCATGTATAAGAAAGTTAAATATGGCAGTTATTAAATTGTACTGCATGTCATAAGGGACCTAATTAAAATGATTGTGTATTTATGAGTAAATGACCTACAACCTGTAATGAACTGAATGCAGAGAAATGCAAATATATAGAATATTCTGATCATGATTTGTTAAAACCTTCTTTCCCCTCACTGACTTTTTCCACCATTTTACTTAGTTTAAAAAAAAGGAAATGAGGTCAGTGCTAGTAACTGAAGTTTCCCCTCAAACAGTCACCATGAAAACTAGCTATATTGTCCTGTGCTTAAGGTTCTGAACACAATGTCACAGAAATTGGGTAGATGAAAATCTTCTTTATCAAGCCATCAGGATGATAGACACTCCAAGGCACAAACTGTCATGTTTAAGGAGGACATTTTGATATATTAATTATATACCCTTAGGATTCAGATCTGGCTTTTCAGACATTTTAATTAAAATCGGCCATTGCAAAAAAAAAACTTCAAGAAGAGATAAAAATTAAGTCCAAGTTACTTGAAAATAAGACACAAGCATAAAAGACTAAGGAATACCACAGAAGCTGAAAAAGTGTTAATGTATTTTTTACGTACCTTTTACAAGGGACTATGATAAAAATTCAGGGTTGCCTGGGCTCCTATAAGTAAAAAAAATCTAACGAGTAGAAAACAGAATGGGCACCATGTTCACAACAAGGAAGGCCAACACATATTCTCACTATGAAGTCAACAGTTCAAGTGCATATCTATAGCATTTTCATTTCCAACCACTATAATTCTAGACTATAAGCAAATGAATTCAAATGCAGACTAGAAAGTCACACACACAAAACTCTCAGATTTAAACAGTCACTTAATAAATAGCCTATAATCACATAGCCTATAAACAAAATTGTTTCCCTTAGAAAATGTATTTTGTAGTAATGTTTAAGGACAAAACCAAAAGATGTTAAGTGCGTCCCAAATACTCGTAAGGGAAAGGTTATCCTGAAATCCCACAAACTAATTGGTTATTTGTTGACCATGATGGTACTTAAGCTAACTGGGATCATGTCGGTGTAAATTAAAGGGAAAGTAAAAATAAGTTTTTTTCTATTTTTAAGTTTAGTTTATCAATCTAAACTTAAGTTTAGTTTACCAATTATGTTGCATGAATAGTATTCAATATTGAGGGTGACTCATACCTTAAATTCCTCCAAGATTTTGTAATTTTTTCCATGATATTCACAAAAGTTTTTCACTTCTTTGCACTCAGGACAGCATCCATTGTGTTCTACTTTAGTACACTTTGGGTGAATTTTAGGGCATTCTGGCTGGTCACAAACAGGTCCATCCAGAGCACAGACACATGGACAGTTGGAATGCCCTGGGAAAAATCGTTCTCCCAACTTGTATACAAAGCCACTGTCATCCACACACCCTTTCCCTCGATAGTCATCAAAGATCAGATTATCATTACTAGAGGTCTGGTCACTGTCATCAGCAGGATAGTCTTCATGACTGATGGCAGCAGAGGTGACTAATCCAGGGATGACCAACAGAAGTATGTAAGCTTCATGAATATGAAGAGCCATTCCCCTCCTCAAAGGCTTCTGGATGTGCTCCTAATATTAAATATGTTCAGCTCCTTCCATGGGCATACAAGAGGGGTGGGCTGAAAAAAAGAGTAAGATAAAGTGAATATAGATTCATATAAACCCATGCCCTTAAACTGTTTGAGACCTAATTGGAAGGTATTAGGATGTTGAATAGACTAAGTTCATGCAACTATTGTATACTTTTGTGAAGTTTAAAAGCTGGTTCTTGGCAATATATGCATTAAAATTTGTTCTTTGAGTTATGTCATCTAGGAACTGGCATCTTGAATTTACATTCTAAATTTGAAAGAGCTAGCCTGTTGTAAATTAAAAGGAGTGGTTTTGCTGAGCCTCAGAAGGTGATTCTAAGTAATCATAAACTTACAAGAATATTGAAATTCACATTTTTCTTTAAACAGACTAATCAGTAATAAAATATACAATGTTACATAACAATATATTTGAAAACTCAAGATATTAGTGAGAAAAATTCTACTTCAAGGAGAAAGGGAAGAAACCAATAGTTGAATGTAAATTGTAATTGGGATGGAGCTAGTATAGAGAATTTTCTGCTTTATACCCATAATTGGAACACAACCATGGATTCCACATGGGTTACTTGTGGACATGAATCTAGATTTTGTTCCAAGAAGAAAAATATTACAACTATCCCACAGAGGATAACAGAATTAAAATACAAAAGAACTCTATGAGGATTTATATTATTATCCACATTGCTCTTTTACACAGAAAGTAAGCTCCTAGTGGGCAGGAAAGCTGTAGCTGTGAATTTTTTTTTTTTTTTAAACAGCAACTAGTTTTCATGTAACACTTCAATGCATCATACCAATATAAAATAAATACCATTCATAGTCTTGAAAATATATCCCCTTTGGAATGATGAAAATACATAAAAAATGCCAGTGTAAAACTATTGAAATTTCTTAAAAAGGTAAGGAGCTATTGCCATTCATAGAAAACACACTATAAATTTGATGGTATTGATTTTTGCAAACTTCACTCAGTATTAGTGTTTGGTGTGGAGTGTTGGTAGTGCACTCATTTGTTGAGAGTGACTCATAAAAAAGCACTGGGGAAACTGACTTTAGGGAGTGGTAAATAAGGAAAAGTGCTATCCAGTAGTTCATTTGTCTATTTAAATGCTAGTGGCTTTTATTTCAGTATTGCTAAGATTGTACATAGGACATTTTCAGACTGCTTAGAATGTTAGTCCTTAGTTTATTTTTAGATAATAAAGGAATAAATCAACTCTTTTCTAACATATGGATGATTTCAAATAAGATGAAATGGTATTAGGAAACTTCATGAACTACTATATTTGCATTTTAAGTTAGATATGCAAATTGTAGTAATAGTAAAATGGAAGGTAGTATATTCATGCCCTCCAATAGAAAGCTGCTGTCTGATATTAGAATTCCCTTTGGGTAGGTAATGATAAAGGAGATTGATTTAACATATGTCAAAAATAATGAGTCATGACAGAACAAAAAAATGCAAACCTGTAATTCTACTCCAGAAACTGGAAGCTCCCTTGACAAAGCATTTTTTAATCACTTAAATTACTATAGAAGCCACAACCATAACAGAAGCTTCTTGAAAAAGCATAAATATATTGTACTGATTAAGGCATACATTATACATTTCTCATGTATTTAGAAAGTTTATCTTGGAAAAAAGGAGCTATTGTGCTTCCTTGTAGTATTCCAGAAGTATCTGGCAATGCATGCAGAAAAAGCTACACAAAATACACATATCATTTGGTTCAAAAGAAAAGACAGAAAAATGATCTCTTTACAAGCTACAGGTAGGCATTAATGTTATCAGGCTATGGTAAATGTAAACTTAAAGGTGAAAAAGAGATACAATATCCACTTTATATAAACATGAAACATTTTTTTTACATGAAATACATTTTAAAATCTGCATGGAGAAAACAAGCTTTTCTTTGGATAACAAAGTTCTTAGATTATTTTTTTAATTCCCCCTTCATAATTGAGCTACTCTAATGCAGTTGAAGATACTATTTAAGAGAAGAAACATTGGAGAAATCAAATCTGTATCTGAAGATTTTAAATAAGTAACAAACATCACTAAACTGAGGATCACTTCTCAGCTAAACTTTCCCCCGCCTCATATTCCTACATATGATATAAAATGACTGCATACATTCAGGAAAACAAACATAACTTATGTCATAAGATACACTTACCTAATCACTCTGGAGGTTAATGGTGGTGGGGGGGGGTCACAGAACAATATTAACGAAAAGATCCAGGTGTGTTTTAGGAAAGCAGTTCCTCTTCAGTTTTCCAAAGAATACATTTTCAGGCATGAATTAAAGGTAATCCATTCTACCTCCCATTTCAAAACACAGTCAAGAAGCAGTCTCCCTCCCTTCCAGAGAGAAACACAGCAGACACACATAAGAAATAGGCTTTGGACCTGTCTTCAGAATTCAAAGCAAGAAGCAATGCTGGTCCTGTAGAAATCCAGACCCCAGTAGCAGAATCATGTTGAACTTATTTTTAGAATTTTCTCAGATCCTTCTATGAAATTTCCCGGCTGATTACGCCTCCTCCACACATGAGTTCACTTACACAGTGTTTGCTACGGCAGTAGAGGTGATTTGGCTAGGCTCTGAGGATCACAAACAGCAACAGCATGCTGTAGCTTAAAGCCCACTCCGCTGGCAATACCATCAGCATCATCCACGATAGGTTGCTTGAATCCCCTCTTACACACCATAAAATACTAACTGTGGACGTGAGGGAAAGGAGCAACTTTAGCTGGGTTTCTGCATCACTGAGAGCAGTTTGCAGACTGCTGATTTGGAGCCGATTCTGCCGGCAGCCGGGAATTCCTCAGCACCACGGACAGCGCCAACAACTGGCTTATAAAACCAGCTCTGTTGCAATCCCGGAGCTGCTGTAGACCAGGCTAGAGTTCTCTAAGCAATAGCACTTCATACACCCGATACTTCTGTTAAGAGGAGGAACGCACTGTGCGTTTAAAATACTTATTTCTATTGAAATTAAAAATAAAACATTGTAATTATAACTAATGCCTTCTTGGTAGGACTGCAAAGATGAAAGTTCCAGAAGAACCTTGCTTTTAGATTTAAATCATCTGCAGCCTCCGATTATTATTAATAGATAAAACATATCATTGTCAGAGAAACTGAAAATGTGTGTTCCTGCTTCTATTTGACCCTTTGTTTGCACAAAGACTTGCTACATGATTAAACTTCAGGTCTTACTGCAGCTTGGATTTGATTTAAAAAAAAAAAAAAAGTAGCTGGGTCCTCCTGCAGTTTGTTCCCTAACATTCAAAATCAATCTCGTGTAATTCATCTAGTCTGTCATTAGGCGTCATTGTAAAGCTGTTTCTTCCAAATCCCTAGCAAAGATGCTCTGTTTCTAAATTCTTCTCAAAATGAGAGCGAAAAAAAGACCCAGACACAAATGAGCAGAAAGTTTTTTTTTTTTTAATTGGTAACAGTATAAGCACTAAAACATATGTCCAGATCACATTAAAGAACCAATTGTAAATATTACCTGCTGGCATATTTAACCAGATATTCATTGGTTTGAGACTATGAGAGGCATTTCTTCCAAGTCTTAAAAGGAATGCCCTCTGCAGTGGGATCTACTGATGGTCAAGACCATGTTCGAACAGTGCCGTCAGAGCCTCCAGAAAACAGACTGTCTCCATCATGAGAAAAAACGACTGTGTTAGCCTCACTCTCATGGCCCATCAATTTGTGAATCTGCCCTGATTTAAGATCCAGCAAATGGATAACCCCATTGCAGCTTGCCTGAGCTAAAACTCGACCTAGGGGCAGGATGGAAAAAGGGGGAGGGAGTAGGGGAAAGGGAGAAAGAGAGGGAGAGAGAGAGAATCAAAGTTTAATTTCAAGAAGTCATAAGAAATGGATTATGTTTCATAGGTACTTCAACAGACCTATGTTTCATGGTAGTCATTAAATATAAATTCCTATTTGTAGAGCAAACAATTTGAGTCAAAATTTTTCAATGAAGTAAAACCTAATGTTTTATTTGCAAAGATCACAAATGTCCTGATAGTCTCCTTATATTGGAGATTATTAAATAATTTTAAGATTGAATACAACTAAGCAATGCAACTTTTAAAAATGAATTATTTGTGGAAAAAATGTTAAAAATCTTAGGTTTCAAAATTTATCTGTTGCAAAGATTATATATACTATAATATTTTTATTTTTATTATACTAACATATTTTTATTTTGAAATGGGTATTTTATGTTAAAATTGCTTAAAGGAATGATTATCATAAGTATATATTTATGCTTAAAATTATGATACTCATGAACTCAACATTTTTTTTTTTTTGGAGTTGAAGTAAAAAAAAATCTCCAAAGATGACTTAGGTTTTCTTACTCTAATTTAAAATTCAAAATTCTGTTAAACTAAGGTTTAGTTACATAAGAGCGCTAAATACAGCACAGACTACTCTCATAATTCTTAAACCATATATTTGAGTGAATAATTTCCTTAAGGTAAAAAAACAAATCAGCAATCCAATTCTGACTAATACTTTCATTACAGAATTCTGGTACAAAACAATTATGTAATTTAAAGGTAAATAAAAATAGTAGAGTATGTTCATCTAAGCTCAATTCTACTTAGAAGACATACTGGTGTTCTAGTAACAGCATTTAAGCTAGATCCTAGATTTGTACCTGAGGTAGACAGTTCTATATAATACTTAGGATAGTCTAATGACACAGAAAATACTCCCCATTATATAGGTGGAAAAAGAGAAGCTTGCAAATGCTGAAAATGGAGGGAGCAGGCATTTAATCACAAGCACTGTGAATCCAGAGCCTGGGCTTTTAGTTGTTTTTTTTTCTTCCCACATCCAGCATAGTATTGTTATCAGTGATGCCTTGCAGATTGTAAGTAGGTAATAAGTTGTAAAAATCGATTTTGTTCATTTCATATTATCATAATGATATCATTATAAAGTTACTGTGAAATATGTAAAATTATAGCCCAAAGTGTCACAGCTATCTCTAAAACAGAAGTTATAAAAGTAAAGTTAACCATGATAAATATGGCCTATTTGCAAACCTTTATAACTTAGTGGGCTTCTTCATCTAGAACAAAGCCTGACAAAGCAAAGATCCTTAGGATGGATTAGAGTGTCCAAAGCAGCAGATGTGAATATTTATTATAAACCCTCTTCTACTAAGTCTTTGCTGACAGAGGCATTACATATGGGTTTCACTTAGTCTCATTCTATAGGCAATTGCTGTTTGTGACTTTCCTAAGAATAAGTTTTTCTTGTATTCTTTATACAATAGCTAGAAAGGGGAGTAAATATTTTCTATTTTTTAAGCCAAACTAAACCAAAACAGAATCAAAACCCATGAAGAAAAAAGATCTAACTCTAAACCATTATTTTCATTGAAGTGAAATCTGTAAAAATTGTAATTGGAAATCTTTATGAAGATTCGTTAAAAAATTCAGAAACTTTCTTCAATGAAATAGAGAAAATGATAATAATGGAATGTGAAGATAGGATTATATCATCCAGCAACACCTTGCTTTAGGTGTTTCAAAAATCTGTCTTTGCTAGAAAACATCTGAGTCAGCAAGATTATAGTGAGGTTTTTCAGGTTTACTTGAAGATTGCAAGACTGGGTGTGTGTGTATAATTCCTGAAAGGGATATAAATTTATAACTATATTAAACTTTAAGGTATAGTGGATATTACATGGCATGTAGTGTCTAATGTAAAAAATTAGTTTTGCTGAGAATAGAGATGCTGAACTTTAAGTTAGAAGAGCTTCAGAATTACCAGAATGTGTCAAGTGCTGTGTTAGTATCTAGTGAGAAAAAGGCTGCATCTTTCAAAAGCAGAGTGTTCATAAATATGTGTTGTGTCTCTTTCTAAATTTCCCAATGATTGGCATTGAAAATTAAATGACAGTATTAATAATTTGTGGTACTCATGCCAGTCTTATTGACAAATTTAGGAAGATTCATCTACATTAAAATTGATAAATGGAATAAAAATATGGCAGAAATACAATTTTAAAGTGTCTTAAGAATCTATGTAAAACTTACACTAAAGACAAATTATGTTTACACTTTATAAATTCTAATTAATCAAAATAATTTTCTTGTAACATAATTTTTGAGTGATAATATTGGTTAACATAAATGTATACATTCTTTAAATATCACATGGACTGTAAATATAGAATTAAAAATCAGAAGTACAGTTTGTCAATATTGATTGAAAAATAAAAATAGCCAAACTTGTCATGAACATGTACTATGTGAAAAAAGAAATGACTGCTTCCTTTCTTTGGTTCACATTTAAATTATTAGGACGACCACATACCTCACAGTCTGAGAAGAAAATAAGCAGTCCAGGGAGAAAATTGATTTAACTTTTGTTTCTTCATTCACATGTCTCTGAAAACTTGGTACTTTCATACCAAGAATGTTAAAATATTTTCTTGTTGGTTAAACCACTTATTTTGTTGACCAATGAGGATAACAAGTATTACTATCCACTTTAACCTGCTGAATGAATTGTCAACTTCATTTGACTTAAGCACTAAATTTTGCCTGCTTTCAAAAGTATTTTTCTGCTATTAAATAAACCAACCAACCTTTAAAAATTAGGTCTTTTAAATTTCAGTTCCAAATAAACTTACAGATTTTCCTTTAACATAGCTCCTTTATACATATTTTAAGGAAAAAAATTTAAATTGGCCTAATAACTTGAGCACAACAGTTAACAAATGCTTATTGCATGAGGGGTGTGTGGTGTGATGTGAATTAACACAAAGACCCTTATGATCAATTTTTTAAGTAGAAAGGAGCTGAGGCAATCTCTTTTTCTTCTAGGGAGACTGGAATAAGTTCACAGAAGCCATCATTTATTGAGTATCCAGAGTTGTGTTCTACACTCAACTCGAAAGTAGATGGTCTCTCCATTTAAGCTAATGAAGAAAGACATGCAGAGAAGGTAAAGCCAGAATTTGAATCAAAATCTTTATATTCAAAAAATCTTGTTTCATTTACTGGCTTTAGTTTCTTTTGTAAGACAAAACTTAGGTAAGTAACAGTTTGGCACGTCTTCATATATATTCATTAATTCTTATGTATGCATTCTAGTGCATGTATTGTATATAGTAAAAGTCATACATAATTGACAACTAAAAAGGCTCATAGTACATCCCCTCCCATAATTTGACTAAAATTATCTCCTCAGTTCTTCTACAGTTTCTGAATATTCTCATTTTTTCTAGACTCCAAACTGCAGTGACATTATTTATGTATACAAGAGCCAGGGTACAGGCCAGAGATATGGGGGGGTGAGAGGATCCACCAGAGACACA